ATGAGATGAGGTATTATGTACACTATTTACATTATTTGGACTATTGTCCTCATCTTTGTCGCCATATTTCTTACAACGTTTCAGCCATTGTACGCTCCGGCCTTCTTCGGGTGGTTGAAATGTCGAACTGAACCCTTTATTTCGTTCACTGGGGTAGACTGTTCTACTTCAACGTGCCATGATTAATGGAAATCAGTTATCTCTTGTTAATTCCCCTTTCCAAGTTCTCCAGTGTCTTAACCGGGTACTGACTTCACATTGTTTGTGTCCTGTCACTGGATCTAACTAATGCCTTTATCCACTGTGCCATGTGCCCTTGAGGCTTCAGGTTCGACATTCCAACCACTTGAAGAAGGCCGGACCGTACAACGGCTGAAACGTTGTAATAAATATGGCGACAATAGTGCGAATAATGTAAATACTTTACATAATACCTCATCTCAGAAATATAGACAGATATTAATAGACTTTTCTTAGTTTTATTTTTTCGATGCATTTTAGATAGAAATATTATTATAGATAGAAAATTTATTATAGGTGGAAATCTTTTTTTAAAAATAATTTGCAAATCATTTCCCTCACTGCTATGATTATTTTTTTTTCTGATTTTTTCACTACTAGCCTAATTATTATAAACCCCAATATTATTTGACACAAGAGAGCATGGAGTATTCTGTCTGCATTGACCGAGCTGCTGATTTATAAATACTCAAATTAAATAATTCGATATCAAACCCAGACGGATTATAATTTATATAAAAAGTTTACTTTCAAGATCAAGGATAGAATGTGATGCACGCAGTAAGGATCGAATGATATTTTAACTGTTTATAGTAATGTTTTGCTAACCACTCCACAAAGCCGATATATCCCGACCGATATCTTGTCTTTCTATCATTTTTTCAAGCTTCAAAAAATTCATTATACTAGAATTATTATTAAAGGAGATATTAGTTGCTGTGTAAGCTGAAAGGGATTTCGAGATAAAAAAAAAATTTTAAAAAAAAACAAAAGGGAATTGAAAATAAAAGGTAAAAAGTCATTATTTGATTCCTACTTGATTTTATTTCATAAAAATCCTAAAATATGAAATACCGTCATTTAAATTTGAAGTTAGAGGAAAATCGATCATCTCAGTATTTGGATCCGCTATTGGCCAATACAATAAAACTTATGAAAATTGTGACAGATTTATTGATAAATGCTTGAAAAATGCCATAAAATCAATATCATCCTTCACAAATATTAAAATCAAATGCAAAATAACATATGAAAAATGTAACTATGAAATGCATTAACTTTTCACTTTGATTAAAAGTTTAGCATACACACACGTACACTCACACACACACACTCTCACTCACTCACACACACACACTATATATATATATATATATATATATATATATATATATATATATATATATATATATATATTGCTATCTCGTTAATCAGTCCGTTTCTATCTATTTCAGTCCGTTTCTATCTTTCTCTCTCTCTCATAGTATTGGAATCAAGTTATGATTATGTAAATGATCATTTTCACCTTACAAAATTAAATTTACAGGATATTTCAGTCAATGGATAATAAATTTTTTGACATGAAAATGAAATAAGCAAGACAAGGAGAGAAAAGGAACTTGGATTTCATATATATATATATATATATATATATATATATATATATATATATATATATATATATGTGTGTGTGTGTGTGTGTGTGTGTGTGTGTGTGTTTGTGTGTGTAATGATTTTACACCAAAGTTTAAATATACTGACTTAAAGAACTGTCGACATTTTTTTCTACCTACCATCACTCGAATTATTCGATGGTGTAATTGGGACGAGGCACAAGTCGATATTCACAAGAACTAAATAGTAGATTAGGAGGGGAAATTTAATTTAGTTTTATGATTTTTTTTTACTATCTTACATAGTGCTCGGTCCGCTCATCATTTGAAGATTTTAGAAACGGTTTATATTAAAATACACCAACCAGGATTATTTAGAGGGCGTGAATGATATTTTTCATTTTTGTACTCAGTCGGAACATTTAGCATTTATTCGGTATTTTTTTTTACTCAAGAATTTGCTTTTAGTCGTATTCCGAAATTAAATTCCCCAAGGTGTTACGCAACATGCTACAGTGTGTCTAGCAGGAGCTGGACGAGCGAAATGATTTTTTTCATGTCACAGGTGGTGTACGTATTGAACATTTGTGAAGTTTTATGAAATCGGTTATGTAATCTATATTCTCTTGAATATCTTGTTCTACATATATACATATATATATATATATATATATATATATATATATATATATATATATATATATATATTTAATTTGCCTGGTATTTATTATAAATATCACATTTTAATTGGTGTCAGTTTTTGGGATCCCTTATTTACGACAGACTTACAAGGATTATCTATTTTGGGACTATTCAAATCATTCACATTTTAATTTTCGGCCGTTGTACGCAGTTTTGATTGGGATGAACCCTTGTATTACGACAGTTCCACGTGCCACATTACAAGGGGATTAGATACATTATTGGAAATTTCTGGAAACTTATTGTCCTCATCAAGCATTGTCGGGAACAGTAATTTTCAGAGAAAAATCGATATAACAACAAAAAGTTTCAATAGGGAACTGTTGTTACGCCTGGTAAAGATGGTTGCTGAGACATTGGTTTTATAATACCCAGAAATTCTTCCTCAAGTGACAATAAAGACATTGGTTAGGACAAGACCCAAATGGTGTGTTCACACCCGGTCAAGGCAGTGGAGAATTTTCAGAGGGAAATTAACAGTAGAAAGATTCCTTAAGAATCCATTCAGTTATAAATTATTTCATGAATATATCATCTCATCCAATATACATGACAGATACTGAAAGAGCGAAACGTTGTAATAAACACCTATGGCAACAAGATATGATGAGGAGGACAATAGTCCGAATAATGTAAATAGTGTACATAATACCTCAGAAATATAGACATCTCAAACGTTGTAAATATAGACAGATATTACAATATAAAACTAAGAAAAAATCTCATTACAGATATTACAAGGATTTATATGAAGAATCGCAGACAAGAGTTACTAAGTGGATGTTGATAATATTCGCAAAAAACACCTTGTCTACGAAAATGAGAAATGCTGAGTGACAGAAAAAAGAATATGGTAGGATAAGAGTCTTGGAACGTTTTGTCTCTGGGAAAATGGATGTAGCGTGACAGAAAACATCACCCACTTCGAGTACTTTCGAGTGTTTCCGTTATTGTCATGAACTAAGTATATGGGAAGCGTTTTAAATGAGGACAAAAAAAGCCACACTGAAATCCGAAGGCACATTGGGATAGAGAAAGATGCATTCCACAGGATAAGCAGAGAATTCACAGACTGAAAATCTTCGTTACAATGAAAAGAGTACTGTACTCTTAGGTAATATCTGTCCTCCTATATGCCAGTGAATGCTGGACAATCCCCTTAAAGATGAAGAATAGACTTGAAGCAACAGAAATGTGCTCCCATAGATGATGCTGACGATACCTTAGACAGAATATGTGAGCAATAAAGAAGTTTGAGAGAAAATGGAAACAAAACAAACATGCACTTAACATAAAAAAGATTGAGTTGAAATAGGGCAGATTAAAGGCAAGAGGGACAGAGGAAAAGAACGTATAATTTACTTAGTGAGCTTAAGCAAATGGATGGCGGAACAGAGTATAGAAGAAATAAGAGAAAGAAAAAAATTATCCAGAGCTACAAAGGGCAGGATGTTGTGGATAGGCTACGCTCTCAGTGGACATGGCACATAAAGAAGCAAAAATGTCAGTATCGGAGACAAGAGTGGTTAAGTGCATCCTGATAGGTACCATAGGCAGCGATACTTCTTTCATGCACATTTCATTAATACGGCAAACAGGGTTATTTTATTTAGTTTTTTTTATACAATTTCTCATGCAATCTATTTTTATTTTATTTTCGGTTGAGAAAATTATATAAAAACTGTCCAATTGTTCTTTTTATACGAGCGCTTTCGGCTATAGATTTAGCCATTTTCAAGGATGAAATATTTTAACTGGTAAATTAGTTTTTTGTATGTGTTTTATATGTGTATGTGTATATATGTATATTTATGTGTGTATGTATATGTATGGGTGCATGTGTATGCACATATGTGTGCATTTATATATATATATATATATATATATATATATATATATATATATATATATATATATGTTTGTAGCAGTTTATGTTTACATGTGTACATTTTATTTAGACTTATTAAGATTAACAACAAATGTAATCTTTTAAATTCCAAAATATATATGTGACTTAAAGAATACAGATTTAGTTAAATTGCATAGTAATCTCTTATGTTGAAGATATATAGAAAGTGCTCTAATGTCTGAGTTTTCTACATGAGATATCGGCGCTCTTAACTTCTGTCATTGCAATGTGGGATATTTAAAAACAACAGTCATAAAATCCAAATCCAGGTACTGTAGAGAGCTGTTGGAGGTCTGCCTCCATGTTTTGTTTGACACCTCGTACGCCAATAATTCAAAATAAAATTTAAATCTAATCGCTTTTGTATCTACAGTCTTTCTCACAGTGTATAACTATAAACGACATTTGTTGTAGAGATTTTCCAAGCGTAGCTTAGATGTGGCGCAAGACCGAAAGTATGGGATTTCCAGTGCGGATCGAACTGACTTTTCAGTAATAAATGATCTAGCAAGACAAGCTTGTTAACCATTACACCACGCCAATGTGCCCAAACGACATTTGTTGTATTTCATTTTATTTGTATACATGTACGATACCAGCTGTAAAAACTATTTTGTTCGTCATGTAAGTATTTCCCGCTTTTTGTAATTCAACTACGAATAATTATGTTCATATTCTTCGATAACATTTTCTATATTAAATATGGATAAGTAAAATATTTCCTTTGGAACAAAGTGATAAAAAAGCAAAGGCATATGAGCAACATGAAAGAAAATCTATCCGTCCAAAATCGAAAAATTGTGGCCCAGTCACCTGAGATTCATGGCTCGATATCAAATTCAACAAAAGCCAAATATCTTTCCCTTGAGAAACCATATCTCGTACCCTTGAAGATAAAGATTTTTTTCCTTCTGATCACGTCAACCAAGGTGAATTGTTCTTGCAGAACAATACCTGAATAGAAGCCATTATTTAAGATTTTAATTAAGTAACTTTTGTTGAGAAGCACCTGAACAAAGAACATCATTAAAGTTCTTTTTTTAACTACAGAGAATGTCTTTAGTAAGAATACTGACTGAAAGGCATTTTTATAAGATAATCTTTGCAATAATTAAATCCTCGTTTCAGTCAAAGAAGTTAAATTCTCGATAATCGCCACCATGTTGTGATGGAATTAAGACTGGTTAATTGGAGCTTTTACATGAATATTTTAATTGCCTATGATTCTCATCGGAAAAAAAATTGATAACGTAGATCCTGAATCCTCTCACGAACATTAATAGGAAGCTGAATATTGGACCGAAGCGCATCTACCTTCATCAAAAGGATGGATTCATTGGCCACTTGAAGACTTGCTATCAGAGTGACTAAGGCATCGACACTGGTTTCAAAACCAGAGTGATTCCTCTCCTAGAAATGCTAGCAATCAAGGCTAAGGAGTCAAATAAATTGTATTTTTGTCATCTCTATAAACCTTGCTCCTCCATCCATGTACTCAAACGCGCTAGGTAGGTTCGACGTTGTTTTCCTCTGTCTCATTTGCCTTTCATTGGTATTGTGAGTATCAAATTTTGCAAGCCTTTTTATCTCATTAGCTGACATAATTTTAAATTGTCTCTTCCTTATGTTAAATAAGTATGCCATGGATAAAGTGTAGTCTACATAACACAAACAATAAAAATAACACTGACATCTCATTTTAACAGATATATTTACCAAAATTACGCAAAGATAACTTATAATACTACAGAAAATTATTCAATAAAATCGCCATTGGCTTCAAATGCTGCCTCCAAACGACTTTGGCATCTCCTGTAACTCGTTTTGATGGACTCTTTGTTTGCTATAATCCTTGCCTTCAGTTCATCTCTGGTATTACAAGGAGTTTTGTTGGTCTCTCGCTCAATTGCTTCCTACACATAATAATCAAGGGGTTTGCAGTTTGGGGAAACATGTGACCAGGTGTAAGGTGTGATGTTGTCGCAAAAGTTGACAGACATGGCTGGGTTCTCTTGCTTGTGTGGCATGGTACAGAGTCCTGTTGTAAGACATAGGGTCTTCCAGCAATCACCCTCTTGAACCAGGGTAGCACAACATCCTCAAAGAACTTGACGTAGGCCTACGTATTGAGTCTGAGGTACTCACCATCAAATTCTTCAAATGCCTTTATTTTAAATATTAAAAAAGATAAAATGGGAAGTACAAATTAGTACAGGTTGAGATGGATAAATTGTCATCTAAATGACACAAATATGAAAATAACACTGATATCACATTTTAACTATTTTTTTTTTTGTCTCTTGACCGAACACTTCACTGAACAAGAAAACCAATGCTCGTGGGTGAACATCGGTGTCGATATGCATGCAATTGCCAGCATAGTTCTTTATCAAATGATTTTAATGTTTGTGTTTTTTTTTATTTTGTTGCAAGACGTCGGATTAAACGTTTCGTCGTCAACTTTTACAATTATTATTTTAAAAATTATTAAAATTCTTATTTCATTTAAACTTCCTATATTCATATTAATACAGATTTCTATGATATATTAGATCATATGTAGGTAGAACAAGCATTTAACTTTTTATAAAACTAAACTGTTACGTTACTATAAAATGTCTGATTATGTCATCTACGCTCAGTGCTGAAAATCCTCGGATCGACCAGGAAACTCTTCGAAAAAATTAATGGGTATCTGATGTGCATATCTACGAGTCATTCTCATTGACTTAAAATTCTTTATTTACAATGTAATGCATGAAAAACGATGCAAAACTGTCATATATTTGTACGAATTGCCAAGACAAATGAAGCCAAATAACAGTTATCAATGTTAGAACTGTCTTCTCTCGTTTTCTGACGTTTCCAATATAAACATACCAAGAATATTTATGATGGCATTTAAAAGTTCACGAAAAAAAGTCGACATAATTTTCTATTGAATTCTATAAGAATATTAAGCAAGACATTATTACTATACCACAATTTAATATGGCTATGGCTATTGTCTATGTAAGTTTTTCATAATTATTTTATGTTATATAAAAAGTCCCCCTTCTGAGTAAAATTTAACTAAGATTCCAATTGTTTATAATGAAATTAAAAGATTTTAGTACTTCAGTATAAATCTCGTGATACTGTGCTAAAATGAAGTTATTCATTTAACTAATATATATATATATATATATATATATATATATATATATATATATATATATATATATATTACAATGAAGCATTCATACAAAAAGTAGATTAGTGAAGTTAATGATATAAAATGGCGAAATCTCTTTGCAAACCAAAATTGTTGATGTTGCATTAACCTACAAACCACTCGATAAATGTTATGATCCTTGTTTTTAACAACTACAAGCTATTTAAGGTCACTTTTTTAATTTGCTAGTACTTTCAACTGTACATACAGGTCATCCTCAGGCATGGAAATTATTTTTTTTGTTTTTAGTAAAACCAGGTAGCATCAGAGACGAAATATTAAATACGAATGGTAATATTTTTTTGTTTTTTTTAGAAACGTGATATTGTTAACGGATAAAAAAAAGTGGTTCTTAGGTTAATGCAACTTTAAAATTTTGGTTTGCGCAAAGATTTCGCCATTTTATATCATTAACTTTCGCCATTTTATACAATTAACTTTACTAATCTACTTTTTGTATGAATGATTCATTGTAATATAAATTGAACTGCACCACACACACACACACACACACACACACACACACACACACACACATATATATATATATATATATATATATATATATATATTTTATATATATATATATATATATATATATATATAACTGGCCACTCGTATTCGAGGATACCCGTCTACTAGAGTGGCTAGCTTGCTCAGCCATATTTGTATTTGTCCAACGCCCACAGACCCCACCTGTGTTTTATACCGCAACTACGCTGAACAGACTATGGGTAATAACGTGTTATTTGCCGCGATCAACAATTTGAACAAGGGTAGCACTCTCAAACTCTAGGTTGCGATGATTTGTAACTCCATGTTAGCACTGGGTTGTTTGGTTTCCTGTGTCGTTTGTAGGTACGGTTGTTTAAGCTGAATGTTATATCTAAGAAAGTTATTATTTTTTATTGAATGTTATATCTATTGTTTCGAAGGTTTTATTATTTCTTGTCTTAATTTTTCTGTATTTCTGCCGTTGCAGTTTGTTTGAATTAATAAATCGTCCTCTCTGTATGGACTTGTATCATTTTTGTTAATAACATTTGTTAAATTATTTATCATGTATATGCCTATGTATTCGAAATGTACCATCATAGTTACCCATTGTTACGTCATTATTATTATTATTATTATTATTATTGCCCTCTTTGAAAATACTTTTTTCTATTGTAGTATAATATCGATTTTCGGCAGTGTTTAATTGTATTATTTCCTCAATAGTGATAGTCATATATTGTTTTCGAAAGTTTAATACGTTGTTTAATGTACACACATTGATAAATAGGTAAATGTCTTTTATGTCTAATTGCGTGAAAGAGGAGTTTTCATTACAGGGTACGTTGGATAAATTGTCGTATAACTTATGCAGAATGAAAATAAAACTGACACCACAGTTTAAATGACATATTTACCAAAATATCTTGAAATAATAAAGAGTAAATTAATTCAATAAAATCGCCATTCGCTCAATCCACGACCTCCAGACGAATTCGTAATTTCCAGCAAATTTTCAGGACGGCCTTCTTCTTGAAACAATTAAGGACACACAGGGGTCAATAAAACATTAAAAGTTAAGATACCGATAACTAATTCATCAATCTTAATTGTTTTATGATCCTTCGCCCAGAACTGTTCACTGCCAGTTCAAGAAAGACATTCTGATTACTAACACAAAAAAGACATTATGGAATAAAGTGTCCAACGTCCTGGATATTTCGTAAGTAGATATAAACAGGGTGGTATAATGACCTGGATACTTGAAAAAACTATACTCTACAATAGCTTTAATAAAACTGTTTTCAATAGATTAATAATTATTCATTAGTTCTATTCAATAGATATTTGAAATACATTTAAAGAGCGGATATATGTGTTTCGGCCTCTTCAATAGCCGTTAGAATAACACAACAAACAAGACAACACTGACATGCCTACCCGTAATGCTACTAATACTAACGTATAATAAGTTAGATACTATTCAACCCACATTGCCTAAGTTTTACTTTCCGGTATGAAACATTCTGCCCGCATTCAGCGTTAATCGGTGTGTCCACAATGCATATATATTGTTTTACATATCGCTCTTTAGGACTATAAAAGAACGTCTCAATATATCTCACTCTCTTTTACTCGGGAATGTAACAGTATCAACATATCTCTTGTATCCGCAGGACACACACGTTACCAAACGTTAAACTTAAACAAACCTATGTCTATTCGATGCTAGTCTATCTTTCACTCTGCCTTAGTCTGTCACTATCAATTTATCTGTCTATCAATGTTTGATCAATTTTAGTCTATCATTCAATCACTGTGTTAGTCAGTCAGTCTATGAATTGTTATCCAATACACGTACATAATACAAATAATAATAGAAAGACTTCAATGTAAAATAATAAGGCATTTAATTACCAAACTATTAAAAAAATCTATTAAAATACATAATAATGAAGGGGAAAATAGTAAATGGAACGATTATTGATTCCTTACCATTTAATACATACATGCGTAGAGCTGCTAAGAAATGTCTTGAAACACGTGATATCGACTTTAACGTCCAGGTTAACACAATAGTCAAACACATAATTCTAACCCCCAGTCAGTAGCATCTCTATTCATATTAAATGGTGGTCTACATTTGCATTGTCTAGAGATTCATGTTCAAATTCCTGTGTCAGCAGTGACACTTTTTATTCATATATGACACTTCCCCAT